TAAGCGCCAAAAATTTCAGAGCTGGTGGTGGCGGAGACCAAAGGATTGCTAAGGCTCGCTGGTCCAGCCTCATGGAAGACCTTGTCTCAGGGGATACAGTGACAGGCAGAAAGGCCCTTATTATCCTGCTTTGGCTTTCATGCACATGCATACTGCTGTGAACACCCACACACACACAAGTCAAAACCCTAACTCCCAGAACCTAAGAATGTGATGCTTTTGATATGTGCTCTTTTTTAAGAAAATGATGATCCGAACCTTTAATCCCAGCACCTGGGAGGCAGAGGAAGGCGGATCTCTGAGTTCAAGGCCAGCCTGGTCTACAGAGTGAGTTTCAGGACTACAAGAGCTGTCCTGGAGGGACACCCTGTCCAGGCAAAGAAACTCTGTCTTAAAACAAGGAAGCAAGCAAGCAAGCAAAGAAACAAACAAACAAAAAGTCATTGCCAATGACCCTCAGCCTGTATGACTGGCAAGAAAATGTACACTTCCTTAAATTGTTGAAGCAGAACCCTGAAACTCAAGAAAAGTGAACAGTGAAGACCATACACAGTAAGCTCTTTGTAAAGAGTCAAGGTCTTCAAGCAAACCCACCAGGCCAGGAAAGGTCTCTGCAGTGAAACAGGCAGGAAAATGAAGCATCAGAGCCCAGCTGGAAGCCCTTCCAATCAGCAAAACTTCAGCTAGGGTAGAAAGCACTTCAGCTATAGGGTGAGTATCGTTCCTCACAGTCACAGACACACAGGATCAGGGGAGGCCACCGCAGTCTGCACGAGGCCGTGAGAATCACCAGAAAACAGGGAACCCTCGGAGACCACCTACCCAGCACCACCACAGGGAAACTACCAGAGCTAAACCAGCTGAGGATTTCACAGTCCAACTCGACGGAAGAAGTGTTCTTTTTCTTGTTCTCTATCACTTTGTTTCCACTCTTGCATGTGTGTTGCAGGGTGTTTTTGCATTTGTTTGTACAGAACTGTTAGGTTTCAGGGTTGCTGTGAATCCTTCTCAACCCAGCTGACCATACTCTCCAGCACACCTCAAATACTCTCTTTCTTTCTCTTTCTCCTTCCTTCCTTCTTTCCTTCCTTCCTTTCTCTTTCTTTCTCCTTCCTTCCTTCCTTCCTTCCTTCCTTCCTTCCTTCCTTCTTCCTTTCTTTTTATCGTGTGTTTTTCAAGACAGGTAGCCCTGGCTGTCCTGGAACTCACTCTATAGACCAGGTTGGCCTTGAACCCACTTTGTCTTCCAAGTGCTGGGATTAAAGCTGTGTGCCACCATGCCTGGCTTCCTTTAAAAAAAAAATTATGTGTATATTCATGGGAGTGGGCATATGAGTGTAGGTACTCTAGGAGGCTAGAGGAGTAGGATCCCCTGGAAGGTAGATTTACAGGCAGTTTTAAGCCACAAAACATGGATGCCAAGAACTAAAAGATTGCATGCTGAAAGGGAAGAAAAGGCAATAGCTAACTGTCCGTTTCTTTCCAAACCACCGTATTACAGAAAAGCAAACCACATCCCTGCAACATCTGCGGTCTGGATGCCAGCAGGGCCGGTTTCCACACCTACAGAGGACAGAGTCTGTGAGCTAGGACTTTGGCTGGCAGTCTGGCCATAGAGTTGAGAGGTCAAGAGAGCACTGTGTGGGAAGTCCAGGCTTCGTTGGTCTTAGGAGATAGCCCAGCAGCTCCAGCCTCCTGCCCTCCCAAAGCCAGCCCTTCCCCATCCAATGTTGTTCATCCCAAAGCGGAAGTGCAAAGGCGAGACGACGCCACTCCCAGTCAGTGTGTGGAGTCCTGTTACCGGCAAGGCACGCTGGCGCCCTTCTCAAGGCTCTGCTGCTGACATTCTGGCCACGTTGCTCCCTCAGCCCATCTCCTGAGCCCTTCTAGGGCCAGACAGGGAGGGGGCAGCCATTGCCCAGGACACAGACCTTTTTTTCCTGGGGTCTTGAGATCCTTTTTCCCTCATCTTTTCTCTTTGAAGCTTTTTTTTTTTTAAAATAACCTTTAAAGTTTTGTTCTGTTCTGACCTATGGCTGGCAGTGTTCCTAGCATCAACAAACACCTGATGGAAGGTAGTTTCCAAAGAGCAGCTTGGATGAAGCCCCAGAGACCCTGAGCTGTAAAAAAGGTGGTTAGTCCAGTTAGCCCAGGGGGCTTTTGCTCCAAGATGGGAGCAAATTTGCCCCTTGAAACCTTTCAGATCATGGGGTGATGAGCACTGGTGTCCTGATAGGCGCTGCTATTTCCTGTTTAAATCCTAGATGTGTTCCATGGCCTGCTAGGTCAGGATCTTGGGTGGAACACCTGGAGCCTGTGCTGTCCTCTGAATTTTCTGGAATTAAATTGCTTTTTGCCCCCTCTCATTTTAAGGTCCTAGGAGAGAGAAGCAATAGCAAAGGCCATGTCTGGAAGTAATCTGGGTTGGGGGAGGTGTTGTCACGAGGTTCTCTCAGCTCAGGCAACAGTCTGCCCACTCAGGACTGTTTTGTTTAATTGTCCCCTAGAAACACAACTGGCTAGCCAAGCATTCCAGATGCCAAAGAGATAATCTGAAATTTTGTTCATTAAGGAAACATTGCAAGAGGGACTGTAGCTCCCTGAGCCCCCGTAAAGTGGGAGAGGGAATCAAAGCTGCTGTGATTTCCGTGTGGCCAGAAGCCACAACCGGGCTCCATGAACCGCTGCTGCCACCCGTCCTTCACCTTTCAGCCTTCCCAGCTTCTTAACTTGTAGTTGGAGTGAGGTCAACTCTCCTCTGCTTGTCTTCCCCAGTACAAACCCACACCAACTGACCCAATCAGGAAGAGGCCCGGACCAGCCCCAAAACTATCAGATGAGATCCAGCTTGCTGGCACGGCCCACAGCTTCACCCGCACCACAGCTGGGCTTCATGTGAGACATAAACTTTGATTTTGCTCCAGCTCTTCCTAGTTAGCCTCTGAGACTAAACAACAAAAGTTTTTGCAAGCCTGGAAAGAAGCAGAAGCATCTGGTGCAAAGTGCTGGACACTCAGCGGCATTCAGAGGGGTGCCACCTGGACGGGCTTCCCTCACCCTCCCGGCCTGCTTCACAGTTCGGCTTCCTCCACCCTGCCCAGAGCTGACCTTGGGAACTTGTTTAATGGGCTCGTCCTACCTTCAACCACGTGTGACTCTGCCAGCCCACCACCCAAAAGCCACAAATGCCTGATATTGGTTTCAGTGAAACAAAGGCTAAAAACACCTTTCATTTGTCTAGCAGGAATAAGACCATTGGGTTCCTTCTTGAGCACCAAGCACTGTGATACACACCTGTTAACGCCAGAACTGAGGAGGTAGAGGCAGGAGGATCAGAAGTTCGAAGTCATCCTTGACTACATAGTGAGTTTGAGGCCAGTATGGGCTACCCAAGGCCCTATTTAATAAATATGTAAGCGAAGAAACAAACAAACCAGTAAACAGCCTCTGGCCAGTCAGTGGATCTACGGTTTTGGAAACAGATGACGGTGCAGTCACTTCTGGTGGCGGAAACTAAATAGGTGAGGGCCGTGACGGGAACAGTTTCTCTGAAACAACTTGGCATGGACACTCAGAGCCAAAAAATAAAAATAAAATAAAGCTAAGGAAATTCATTTCCATTAACAAGTCCAAAGGTCATAGACAGAGTAGAAAATTGGTCAGGAGTTAGCAAAACTAGTACAAGAAAAACAAGCCAAAAAACAAAACAAAACAACAACAACAAAAAAAAAAAAACAAGCCAGGGGCTGGAGAGATGGCTCAGAGGTTAAGAGCACTGGCTGTACTTCCAAGAGGTCCTGAGTTCAATTCCCAGTAGCCACACAGTGGCTCACAACCATCTATAATGAGATCTGGTGCCCTCTTCTGGTCTGCTGGCACACATGCAGGCAGAATATTGTATTAATACATAGTAATAATTAAAAAAAGACAAGCCAGAGTAGAAGATGAGGCTGAGAATGAGCTGGACAGCACGCCTACCCTCTCACATAGAAGGGTCTCACTAAGAAAGACAGGGCTGGCTGAATTTCCATAGTATCACCGACAACAACTAAACCCGGATTTCTTACCTCGAGTCCATAGTCCCTCCATATTGTACACAGGATCTCATGCCTTTGTGGGTTATTGTGAGGTTATTAAAAAGCATAGCACTAAAGGGTTGTCTAAGGGGTGTGAGTGTTGAATCTGATCTCGACTGAACACGATCTCCAAGGGATTTCTTCATTCTCATCCGAAGCCCCAGGGTAGCTAAGAATCTCAAGAGGCGGAATCCCCCTGACAGTACTGGGCCTGAGCTGATTCCTCTCCCCTCCGAGACACACACACACACACACACACACACACACACACACACACACACACACACAC